AGTTTCAATTCCATCTCTTTGGCTCTAGCTGTATAACTTTAAGAAAATTACTTTCCCTCCCGGGGCTCAGTGTTTCCATTTATAATTAGATTACGTGTAGGATAAAAATATTCTTACAAGACTGCAGTGGGGGTTAAATGATTCACAGTTAGGAATATACATAATAACATGCCTGACATTTACGTGAGTCTCTATGTCAGTGAAGGGCAGGATACATGGGACTATTTTCAGTCTCTCTTGGAACACCACCAACATGATAAAGAATGATTTACATTAGAAACACCCATAAGGAATAAGAGAAAAGGAGAGGAGATGCCACAGAGGAGATATCAATACAATTTTGCAAAACTTTAAGTAGGTATAAGAGTGGCAACTAGCTTGGCAGGAAACAAGAAAATGAAGCCTGCGTTTCTGCAAAGGGGAGGTACCAAGGCAATGCAAGCTGGGGTTCCACAGCATCAGAGGGGCTCAGAAAGCGAATGTACAAGATAGTTTTCAAGTCTGGAAACAAGATTGGCTGGAAGTCTGAAGAGCTGTTAGATCAGATTCCCCCACCCTGCCACAAAATGTAGTGATTAATTCTGGAAATATCAAACCAGAGAGTGTCAAGCCCTAAAAGACCTAAAATAATAATATACAGGGGTTTCCCAGCAAAATGCCTACAGCATGCTACCTGAGTATCACACAGCTGAGTCCACCAGTCAACAAGTTCTGCTTGTACCACAGAGCTCCCAGTTAACCTTTTAGTGTCTCATTCTTAAACAGGAAATGGACAACCAAAGATCAGCAGCATTTGACAAAGACCAGTGTAACAAGATGTAAGGCACAAGCGATGTAATAGATGTCAAATTTCTTTTTCTTTTTAACAGACAGAGCACAAGTGGGGGAGGGGCAGAGAGAGAGAGACAGACACACAGACAGACAGAATCTGAAGCAGGCTCCAGGCTCTGAGCCTTCAGTACAGAGCCCGACCCTGGCTCGAACCCACAAACTGTGAGATTACGACCTGAGCCAAAGTCGGATGCTTAACCGACTGAGCCACCCCCACCCAGGCGCCCCAGTAATAGATGTCAGATTTCAAAGTGACATTTAGGACATCCCTCAAAATAGAGAGCCATGGGCTGTTTACACAATTCTTGAACTCCTCACTCACACTGAGGACTAAAACAGGTCAAAAGAAAGGAAAACTGAGAGAGGGACTTCTTTGGAAAAAAACTGCTATGGGTGCTTCATCGCCACCACCACCAAGAGGGATGAGGTATGCTTCCAGGTAACCTCAAGTCAAGAGAGAGACTTCGATAGGGCCAGTCAGAGAGCCGGATATGTGTCCCCAGCCATCAATGCGATACAGTTGATAGTATTTAACTCACCCCTAGGAAATGTCCACGAGTGAATCTGGCTGAATACAGAGACACAGCTGATAACTAATTGCAAACCCACTGACTGTAAGAAAAACATGCCTGTCCCCCATGGTCTGTGTACAAAAGTGTGAGTGACAGAGACACGTGCAACCACTGTAATCACTTCTAAGAGATCACCAGGAGGGAACAATGAAAACCCTACAGAAATAATCTGTGCGGAATGAGTCCTTCAAGAAATGTACCAAGCAGAAAACAGCTAGCTAAGATAAGCGAAGGGTAATCAAGAGTTTGAAATTGAACCTGTACTGAATCCACAAGAGCATCCAAAGGAAAAAAAAAAAAAAAAAAGAAAGTTACTTAAACATATGCCAGATCCAGAGAGCATGATGCAAATTTATGGCAGTACTAGGAAAGTTAGTACTTTCCTCCAGGCTTATCTTCCTCCTCCACTGTTTAAACCGTGGAGGGGTCAGATATCAGCAACAGGGGTGAGGGGGTGGATGCTAAAGGTAGGAAAGGACAGAGGAAGGGCTAGAACCCCCTTCCCTGGTCTCCCACAGCTTAAAGAGCCAACCAGGGGACAGTAGTCATCACTTAAAGTTGGATGCTTTAGCTATTACACAGATGGAATTACCCGAGGACTTAGTTGTATGTTTTATGGGTTTTTTTTTCTAATTTTTTAAAAGTTTGTTTATTTTTGAGAAAGAGAGAGAGAGAGAGAGCATGCAAGTGGGGGAGGAGCAGAGAGGGGGACAGAGGATCCCAAAGCAGGCTCTGTGCTAACAGCAGAGAGCCCGACATGGGGCTCAAACCTAAGAACCATGAAATTATGACCTGAGCCAAAGTCCCACACTTGACTGACCGAGCCACCCAGGCACCCCATGTGTTTTGTGTTTTAAACTGATTTTCTATTTATAACTGTTTATTAAGGGAGTGCCTGGGTGGCTTAGTAGGTTAAGCCTCCAATTCTTGATTTGAGCTCACAGTTCAGGAGTTTGAGCCCCACATTAGGCTCCACTCTGACAGTGCAGAGCCTGCTTAGGATTCTCTCCCTCCCCTGCTTATGCACACATGTGCTCTCTAAATAAATAAATATAAATAAATAAATAAATAAATAAATAAATAAATGTTATTTTTCTAATGTTTACCTATTTTTGAAAGAGAGAGAGAATGACTGGGGAAGGGGCAGAGAGAGAGGGAGACAGAGGATCCAAAGCAAGCTTTGCGCTGACAACAGAGAACTTGATGTGGGGCTCAAACTCACGAACTGTGAGACCATGACCTGAGCCGAAGTTGGATGCTTAACCGACTGAGCCACCAAGGTGCCCCAATAAATAAACTTAAAAAAAAAAATAACTGTTCATTAAGAGTCATTGGAAATGACATGGGACTGCCCAAATTTTTATTTAGGAGACAGTTGCATTGTTTTCCCACTGAGGTAATTCTAAAAAGACAGGAAAAAAAACACAAACAAAAGAAAGAAACCTTCTGATTCCATGTGTGAGTCATACTAGTTCAAAACAAACATAAAAAGAAGAAGTCAGGGAAAAAAAATCAAGATAATTCAGAAGAAAGGAGAAAAAGAAAACTTGCAAAGAGAGAAAAACAGATCACACAGTAAGTATCAGGAATAAGAACAGAAGCTTAATAAAGACATCTCAACCATGGAAGCTGGAAGACAGGGAAGCAGTGTGTTGAGAATTCGAGGGGGAAATCCTTTCACCTAGAATTCTATGTCCAGGCAACTCAAGGTAGACCACAGAATAACAGTATTTTCAGATATTCAAGATCTCAAGAGTTTTACCTCTTACTCCTCCTTTCCTAGGAGCTGTTCCACCAACGTAAAGGCAGTAAAAGACCGGGGATCCAGGAAACAGAGGATCCCACAAAAAAGGTAGTAAAGGAGTAAAAGAAATTCCCAGGATAATGACCCAGAATAAGTGCTTCACAGCAGGCCTGAAGAGGAAGCATTTCAGGCTGCAGTGGGAGGGCAGACGTCCCCAAAGCAAAATGAGTGGAACTGACTGACTACCAGATGTGGCTGACCATTTTGAGAATGATTCCACGACTCTGTCAGATAAATTAGAGCTAGGTACAATGAAAATTGAGCCAGTGAAAAAGAACTCTAAATATTAACTTCAGGGAGAAAACTAATTTATATGAAAAGGATACCGTGATAGTAAAACTAATTTTTACTGTGTCTCCAAGTGGTGGGCACTGTTCTAAACACAAAACTGCCACTGCATCTCAAAGTCCTCATAATTACCCTGTGAGGTAATTAGTACTGGGCCCATGATGAAGAAAACGAGATACAGAGTGTTAAATGACTTGAATGATATCATATAGCTAATAAATACCGCAGCCCAGATTCGAACTTGGGCAGTCTGACACTAAAATCTGTGCTCTGCTCCGTGGCACCTGGGTGGCTCAGTGGGTTAAGCAGCTGACTTCAGCTCAGGTCATGATCTCAGTTTGTGAGTTCGAGCCGCACATCTAGCTCACACCGACAGCTCAGAGGCTGGAGCCTTTTTTGGATTCTGTCTCCTCTCTCCGCCCCTCCCCCGCCTGCGCGCGTGCTCGCTCTCTCTCAAAAATAAACACTAAAATATAAAAACAGCAGTTTTAAAATCTGTGCTCTGCTCTGACCATAGTTTGCTACAAGGCTTAACAATGAACAATATTTCCATGGTTGTCAATATGTGCACACTGAATACTGGTCTGACCTGTAATTATGACCTGATTTTACATTGAGAGAATGGGGGAGGGGAAGTGTGTTGAGGGTAAGGTGGGATAGTAAATTCTCATCTTCCCCGGTAGAAACTTAATACGTAATGGTTAAAATTAAGGAAAAAAAAAAATCAATGTATGGTAATAGAAGTATATTCCTTAAAATACACAAGTACAAAACAGAAGAAAAAAAGCTGAAAACATTTGGAGACGATAGCTGGATCTGGGGGTGGAGAAAGGAAAAGCAAGGGATTGATCTTTTTCAGTATTATCCTTAATGTAATATTTGAGCCTTTTTTTTTTTTTCGAGGGGGGTGTGGGGCGCAGGTGAGCAAGGGGCAGAGAAAATCCCAGGATGGGCAGAGTCAGGGGGTGGAGAGAGAGCTAGAGAGAAAGAGAGAGAGAGAAGCGGGGCTCACCCAAAGGGGCGCTCGAGCTCACCTGATGTGTGGGACTGGAACTCACCAACCATGAGATCATGACCTAAGCTGAAGTCAGATACTTAACTAAGCCACGCAGGCGCTCCGATATTTGAGGTTTTGCATTAGTATTTCTTTGATTTAAAAAACCAATTTAGTGGCGCCTGGGTGGCTCAGTCTGTTAAGCGCCCCACTTCAGCTCATGTCAGGATCTCAGGCTGAGTTCGAGCCCCGCCTGGGGCTCTGTGCTGACAGCTCGGAACCTGGAGCCTGCTTCCGATTCAGTGTCTCTCTCTCTCTGCCCCTCCCCCGCTCACACTCTGTGTCTCTCTCCAAAATAAACAAACATTAAAAAAAATTTTTTAAACCAATTCAAACAGAATTTATAAATGCTGGGGAAAGGCGGGGAAGGACGGCATAGAGTACTGAAACAGGCGCTTGCTGCCAGCGGCCGGAACCACGACGACCACAACCGACCAAGGAAGAGCAATACCTTCCGCCCCGAACACCTCTCCGCAGTGCGAGCAGAAGAAGTGCTCCGGATGCCAGGTCTGGTTCATTGCCGTCAGCACTTTCTGGAAAAGGAGCACACACAGACGTCAGAGGGCTGCAACTCTATCACCCACGAGCCCCGGCAGGAGAAGGAGGATGACTCACGTCCAGGATGGGAGCAGCGCAGTAAGCACAGCGCGGGGAGAAAAGGTGGTGGTAGTCCTTGGGGCAGTAGGCCAAGCCACTGCGCTCGAAGAAGGGACTGCAGCCAATCTCCTCTTTGCAGTGAGCGCAGACGAAGTGCTCCGGGTGCCACGCTTGCCCCAGAGCATGGATCGCCTGGGGAGGAAATGAAGTTGGGCCACCGTGAGACTGCAGCCAGGTGCCCTAGGGTGCCCTAGGTTGCACAGCTCTGAACAGCACTTGGCGCACGGTATTTCCTGTAAACGGTGCCCCCCTGGGGTTACGCAACACAGAGGCCTAGACCCAGGTCCCACCTACGGGGTCTGTTGCCCCTGCATTATGGAGAGCCAGAGGGTGCCCAGTTTCCTGACCAATCTTGCTGATAAAAGTCTGTTAGCTGTTGGTTGCCGCTACACAGCTCCGGAGGGTGGGGGAACCAAAATCGAGCACAGCAGTGACAGACAGGGATGACTACCGTGGCCTGGAAGGGATCCCTGGAAGAGGAAAAGGCCAGATGAGGGTTTTTGTTCCTCTGGTCTGAACACCTCATCTCACGCCCCACACCAAAGCCCTTTGCTGTGGGTTTTGGTGAAGGATGACACAGCAGGAGGCTGCGGCCACGATTTGGAGCTGAGTCAGCGGAAATCATAATCAATCAACTTGAGCAGGAAGTTGGCACAGAGGGAGCAGGGGGAGACTCCCTCCCAGGACAGGCAGGACAGAAAAGTGGTTCCGAGTCACACGCGGCAGGGAGGCTCTCCTGGGCTTCAAATCTTACCTCCTCCTCTTTCTAGACCTTGGACATACATGCCAGTTAACATCCCAGAGCCCTTGTTTCCCTCATCTTTCCAAAGGAACAATAATAGAGTGTCCCTTGAAGGGCTGATGTGACCGGTAAATGAGGAAATACTTGCAAAGTGCTTAACTCAGTGCCCGGAGCACTGTAAGGGATGGGTAGTTATTAACTGTTACTAAAATGTCGTAGAATAGAAGGCCATAGAGCAATCTTTGGTGAGGCAGACACAGACACACACAGACAGATGGCTGTAGGACCAACTTCTTGGCCCATCCCACCTTGCCAGCAATCGGCTTCTGACAGGAAGCACAGTGGCCCTTGGGCACTGTGGCAATTCCAAGGTCCTGCAGGTCCTGCTCCAAACCCCCCAGCATTGAGTCCAGGGAGGCTTTCTGATCCTGCTTGTTTGCTAAGTGCTTCTTGCTGGCATCTGCTTTCGCTGCAACCTGGCACCCAGGAGAGAACCACGAAAAGAATCAGTGTCATGTACATTTCCCTTCCTTGGCATCTTCTGCATGACCTGTAAGCTCACCTCTGCTGACGGATCCTTTCTTCCGTACCTAACCTCCCTCCAAGGCACTGGAAGAGTCAACATTGTAACAGCAATAAAAATGCTTTCATCTCCCTTTTATCCTAAACTCCTCAGGCCAGATGAAATAGGAGTAATCATCCTTCATTTGTAAATCTTTTCTGACCGTGGGAAATCGAGTGTACGAAGATGACACTTTTCCTCACTCCTACAATGACCATAGGTCAACAATTAATCATATCTTCTTTTTACCCATTTATTCTGCAATGTTTTTTGAGCACCTAGTTTGTGCTGGTCACAGCCCCAGGCTCTTGGCATAGAGCAATGCCCAAGGCGACCTAGACTCTGCCCACATGGAGTTTATATGCTCTAGGTGATAGACGATAAACAACGAAATAAGTATATGATGTAACATCAGGTAGGGATAAGACCTAAGTTCTACACCCACACAGAAGTAACAGAGGGTGGGACGGTGAGAGAGAATTGATGTAGATGAAGGTGATCAGAGAAGACTGTCTAAGGAAGGTAACATTTGCACAGGTATTTCATGATGTACGGAAGGGCCCAGAAATATTGCTATTCATGGGAAAAGCATTCCAGAAGGAAGGAAGGCCCAGAGGAGGAAAAAAGTTAGGGGAAAAGTCAGAAGGTCAGGGGAGCTGGAGTAGAGGGAGTAAGAGTAAGTGTGGCAGCAGAAGACAATGGACAGAGAGGCGAAGATCACGTTGGGCCCTCATGGTAAACTCAGGTTTTATCCCAAGGGTGATGGAGCCTCTGGAGGAGTTCAAGCATGAGAGTGAAAGAATCTGATCTACAGGATCCCCATGGTAGCTGAGGGAGGGATTAAGTGTAGACAAGCAAGAGTGGAGAGGCACCAGCTAGGAAGGAGATTATCGTTAACAGTTCAAACCAGAAAGAATGACTTGGTCCCGTGTTAGGGGAGAAGGTGGTGAGAAGCTGTCATATGAGACTTGCTGATGGATTGGATTTATTTAAGCAAAACCCCAAGGTAGTTATTATAATCCATTCAAAGGAAAAGCCTCAAATTACAAAAAAAGATGCCCAGCTCGTCCTTCATCACTCCATGTCCTGATTCTGTCTCTCTCTACTCCTTTCCGACCGAGCTACTACCACCATCACCTAATACTTCCTGATCAGGAAACAGGTGCTCTTCCTACGGCCTCCATGGCATCAGATTTGCATGCACTAGACAGACCTTCAAAGCCTCCCATCCGCTGCCCTCACTTTACCTTTCCAATCTCATCTTTCATTAGTCACTAAAAGCCTCCATTGTCTAAGGCCAGCCAGGCTCCCTGCAGTCTCCTGAATATATACGATCTGTTACTGTCTGCCTTCGTATCCTATTTTTACTGCCAGGAATAACTTCACATTATCTCACTAATCCAAAATGCTCATTTCCCTTCAAGAAACTTATCATCTGACAGATTTCCTCCCTCCTCTATTATAGAATGTTACTTAATGTTGAAGAGATTAGTGTTCAAAAGGTTAATGTCTAGAAGGCCCAAAGGGCCATCCCTATTAAGTAGGTAAAAAAACCACAATTGTATATGTATATACATATCCATGCATATATGTCTATCCACACCCACGTCTACTTGCTTATATATTCCAGAACACTTCCGAATGAGGATGTAAGAAACGGGCAGAACTGGATGGCTGGGGACATGGCTGAGAGGGAAATAGCTCACTGCAAACTTTTCCACCTTTGACTTTTGTACAACGTGAATGTATGGCCCATTCAAGAAATGAGCAGATCTCTTTTATTTTTTAATTTTTTTAATATTAAATTTATTGTCAAATTGGTTTCCATACAACACCCAGTTGAGCAGATATTTTTTAAATGTAAATAAACCATGACACATGCTAAATCAATTAGAAAACACAACATAATTAAAACTCCTAGTGTAGATTTTTTTTTTTTTTGTCCTAGTACTTACAGTGGTACAATGAACTGAGGAATGTACCCAGTTTTGAATGTACCCAGGCATGGAAGAAAATTTGTTTCTGATGTTCATTCATCTGTTCCTGTAATGTGTCAGGAACTGTGCAGGCATTGGGAGTCCAAAGGTGAGCCACAAAGATAAGGTTCCTGACCTCCCCAGTCACACACCTTTTTATATACTGCCTTGTCTTAGTCACTTCATGTGGGCATATCGAAGCTTCCAACCAATTTAGAGTGGCTGGATTCTCTACCTTAAGAATTCTAGATGAGGGGTGTCTGGATGGCTCAGTTGGTTAAGCGTCCAACTCCTTGATTTTGGCTCAGGTCATGATCTCTCGGTTCAGGAGTTCGAGCTCCACGTTGGGCTCTATGCTGACAGCATGGAGCCTTCTTGGGATTCTGTCTCCTCTCTCTCTGCCCCTCCCTCCCGCTCATGCTCGCTCACTCTCTCTCTCTTTCAAAAATAAATAAGAATAAAAAGAAAGAAAGAAAGAATTCTAGATATTTCCTTAAATAAATTCTTAATTTTTTTTTAATGTTCATTTACTTTTGAGAAAGAGAGACAGAGTATGAACAGGGGAGGGGCAGAGAGAGAGAGGGAGACAGAATCCGAAGCAGGCTCTGGGCTCTGAGCTGTCAGCACAGAGCCCGACTGCAGGCCTCAGAGTCACAAACTGCAAGATCATGACCTGAGCTGAAGTCTGACACTTAACCAAATGAGCCACCCGGGTGCCCCTTCCCTTAGTAAATTCTTAAAGTCCACTTCTCTGATTCCCATCCCCTGCCAGGCCACATGAGCTCACCACTCACTCTCTACAGGCCAGAAGGAGGTGGCAGATTTTATCAGAATATGGGGCTCAGGACTCCTCCTCCTCTCTACTTTCAAAGCCACACTCTGATCTCCCTGGCTCTGCTGCAGCTTGCCCTCCGTGGTCCCACTCAGGCGGGTCTCTGAAGGTCCTGTCACATTCCATCCAGCCTCAGATGCCTGCACCCTCATAGGCTCATGCCCAACTGGAAGGGCCTCCTCTCTCATCTGTGTCCAAACTGTTTCCATTCTTCAGAGTCCATGCCACACCCCATCCCCACCTCTGATAAAATCTCCTTGACCTCTCTACCTTCCTAACGTTTGCTGTGTATATTTTGATAACCCATCTGTGTTTTATTCTATAAATGTTGCACAGGCTTATGCTTCCCTTTACCAAGCACATTCCACACTCCTTGAGATCAGAGCCCGTATCATATTATCTTTTGTGCCCAGATAATACATCCCACAAAGTTAAATTCACGGTTGAATTAAATTTAGTCTGGGAAAATGAATGACAACTGAGAGTTCCGAAGGGGGATGCGGAGCTGAGGGCCACAGAGATGCACCCAGGAACTATGCTCACCTGGGTTTGCATGTCACACAGATGGGCCATAAGCTCATCCAGCTGGGCAGCTGCTGAGGTTTTAGGAGGCAGCCGTGCTTTGTTTGGCTCTTGGGCCTCACTGTAGAGAGAGAGAAAAAAAAAAACAAATCCTAACACATCAACACTCAGATAAATGTTAAGCCACACATAAAATACCAGAAAATGCAATTTTAATTACTAAACCCTTCAGTGTGAGTAAAACTAGAGAGAGTATTTAAAAAGTAGGTAGTGGGCTAAAAATCTCAACACGGTCTCCCTGCATTTTTGTCTCCGTGTCCTCCTCTGGTCATCTCAAAAGCTGACCATTGTTCTCAAGTCCATGAAGAAATGCTCTGGACATGTAGCTGGCAGGACGTTCTCCCCCAACAGTCAGGTGCAAAGCAGCTTCTAAAAACGGCTTGAAGATACTGGCCCAATATATATTTTTTATTACCATAGCATTCTTTTTTAAATTATAAATTATTACACCTTCTCTCACTTACTGTCAGGCGAAAGACAAACACTAAATAAGAATAAAGAGCAAGCAACAGCAAACTAAGGTCCAAGGGCCAAATTTGGCCATGACTGTTCATTTGCACACTGTTGACTACTGCTTTCTTACACAGTTGGATAGTTCCAACAGAGACCTTGTGGTCTACAAAGCCTAAAATGTTTACTGTCCGCCTTTTACAGAAAAAAGATCACTGATCGAGTTTAGACAATGTACATAATACTGGTTTCACATCCATATAATTGGGAGTAAATTATTGATGAATACAATTTGGACCCAAGAAACTGAATACAGTCTATTCAAATACTTGCCGAGTTGTTAGTAAAATTAACTGTGTACAAGAACACAGAATAAGGCTCAATAAATTCTAAGAAGTAAGTAATACAGACCATATTCTTCTATTGCTTTAATAAAAGTACAGATTAATCATAAGAAATCTACCCACCTAAGAAAAAAATAAAACACCTCCAACAATTCTTGTGATGAAGAAAGAAAATAAACTGAATTTTCAACCTATCTAGAAATCGCAACGGAAGCACGTACACACACACACAAACACCCTTCAGAGTCAAAAGCAGTATGTTATCAAAAGGAAAAAATATAGGGGCACCTGGGTGCCTCGGTTGGCTGAGCTTCCAACTTTTGATTTCCGTTCAGGTCACGATCCCAGGGTTGTGGGATTGCACCCCATGTGTGCTCTGTGCTGAGTGTGAAGCCTGCTTGGGATTCTATCTCCCTCTCTCTGCCCCTCTCCCTCAATCGTGCACTCTCTCTCTCTCTCTCTCTCTCTAAAATAAAATTTAAAATAATTAAAAATAAAAAATAAAAGGAGGGGTGCCTGGGTGGCTCAGTCGGTTGGGCGTCTGACTTCAGCTCAGGTCATGATCTCACGGTTCGTGGGTTCGAGCCCGGTTGTCGGGCTCTGTGCTGACAGCTTGGAGCCTGGAGCCCGCTTCAGATTCTGCGTCTCTCTCTCTCTCTCTCTCTCTCTTTTGTGCTCTGTCTCTATCTGTCTCTCAAAAATAAATAAATGTAAAAAAAAATTTTTAAAGAAATAAAAAGAAAAAGATATAATGGACTGAAGTGCGATATTGAAAAATAAGAAAGACCAGAAACCAATAAACAGAACACCCAACTCAAGAATCTCAAAAAAAAAAAAAAAAAAAAGAAACCCACCAAAACTAAAATAACTAAACAGAAGGAGTAAAAGCATGAATTACTGAAAAAAGAAAACAAACAAAAACTGGGTTTTTTGGAGCACTGTGTAAATTTCCAAGTTCATAGAAAAATATGGAAAATCACCAAATAAGGTCTATAAATATCACAGAAATGCAATACTAGAACCAGACAAAGAGAGAACAGTGTGTGTGTGTAATGTGTGTATGTGGGATGGGGTGGTGGGGGCAGCTTAATAAAGACAGCAGAAATATGTTTTAAAAACATCCTGGCTAGATAGTGTTATGCCAGTCTTTTAAGCATGCTTCAACATTAGAAAAAGGATTAATGTAATTCATTATACTAAAAAATAGAAAAAGCTTTATAAACATATTGATAGGTGCTGAACCACACAATCCACCACCATTCCTGTTGTTGAAGATGGAGGAAAAGAAGTTTTATAACCTGATAAAATACAAGAAATCTATAGTGAACCTTATATTTAATGGTCAAATACTAAACACATTTCTAATTAAGAGAAGAGGAGGACAAGGATCCTACTATCACTGCTGGTCTGCAATATTATTCCAGATTGCATTACCAAATGCATTCAAAAGTAAAAATAAGAGGGGCGCCTGGGTGGCGCAGTCGGTTAAGCGTCCGACTTCAGCCAGGTCACGATCTCGCGGTCCGTGAGTTCGAGCCCCGTGTCGGGCTCTGGGCTGATGGCTCAGAGCCTGGAGCCTGTTTCCGATTCTGTGTCTCCCTCTCTCTCTGCCCCTCCCCCGTTCATGCTCTGTCTCTCTCTGTCCCAAAAATAAATAAACGTTGAAAAAAAAAAATTTTTTTTTTTAAAAAATTCAAAAGTAAAAATAAGAGACATATATTGGAAAGAAAAAGGCAAAGCCTTCTCATTCCTATTTTATTTTTTATTTAAATTTTTTTTAATGTTTATTTATTTTTGAGAGAGAAAGAGAAAGAACACGAGCAGGGGAGGGACAGAGAGAGAGAGACTCAGAATCCGAAGCAGGCTCCAGGCTCTAAGCTGTCAGCACAGAGCCTTACGTGGGGCTCAAACCCATGAATAGTGAGATCATGACCTGAGCTGAAGTTGGATGCTTAACCAACTGAGCCACCCAGGCACCCATTTATTTTCTTTTTTAAATAGGTGATATAATCACTTACCTGGAAAATGTAAGATAAATGATTGGACAACTATTAGTATTGAAAATATCAGGATGGTTACTGGGTACAGGAATACGGTGAAATAATTAGTCTCTTTCCTATAGACAGCAGTAGCCAATTTGAGAGTCCGTTGGGGAAAAAGCACATGTTCACAACACCACCAAAAAAACATATAAAATATTAAAGAATAACTCTAACAAGAACTGTGCAAGGCTTCTGTGAAGAAAAAACACTGGCAGACATACAAGACATGCATAAGTAATGATGCATAATATGATGTCAGTTTCTCCCATTAAACTACAAATTCAATGTAATTCATAAAGAAATCTTAAGAGAATTATTCAAGTTCATTAATAAGCTGATGCTGAGATTCATGGGCCAGAACACTCAAGATAATTTTGTAAAAAGAGGTGAGGAGGGAAGATGTCTCAATAGATGTGCTGTCCGATAAAGTGACAATAAAATGTGTGTGATGTTGGAAAAGAAACAGATCAGCCAACAAATCAGAGGACTGGAGCAGACACAGCCCAGAAACAGACTCCTGAACCATGAGAACTTTGCATATGGTAATTGTGGCCTTTCAAATCCTCAAAAACAAAGTAGTAGACACAAAATGCACGACAGCCTATTGGAACAATAAATTTAGATCTTTAACAAACTTTGCACGTGAGTAAGTTTTAAATGAGTTAAAGACATAAAAACATTTAAACATAAAAGGAGTAAAGGAAAATGGAAGATTTTTTTTATAATTTGGGGTAATGAAGGCTTTCCTAAGAAAGGCATGAAACTGTAAAGTGAAAGCAAAAAAGAAAACAAAACATCAACAGAGCTAATTTCAAAAAAAAATTCAACATACATAAATACTTAAAACATAAATAATATTCAAATATTAAAGTCTGCAAATCAGTAAGACAAGCTAATAGAAAAATGAGCTAAGGATTTTTTAAAAAAGCAAGTTTCAGAAAAGGAAATTTGAATGCTTATTACTGTATAAAGATATGCTGATCTAGATCTTTACCATGCAAATTCAACAGTGAGATTCCAGTTTTTATCCCTTAGCCAAAAATTTGAAAGATTAATAATGTGATTGATAACATTCCTCTCTTAAGGAAAAAAGACTGTCTTTTGGGTACAACATGTCCCACTACTGACCTACTTCCGTTTGAGTATTTAACAATAAGAAAAATGGAGGAGGAAGTGGATGTCTCCCCCTCTGAAGAGAAAAGATTTTGTCTTTTAGGTACAACAGGGCCTCCTGCCAGGCATAATTTTGTTTTTTGTTTTTTGTTTTTTTAACTGAGGAACAAAAATGGTCAAGTAGACAAGTGCTTGATTCAATCCTTAGAGGCTTCCACGGAAGCACAGAGAGGCTCAGCCTCAGGTCACTTTGGGGTCATGACCCCTTCGTCATTGCTGCCACAGGCGTGTGTCTTGTGGGCAAAGGCAGCCAGGCTGTCCGCACATTCTCGGCCCTGTTTCCCAGTGTAGAAGAAATGTAGTTTCTTATGTGGGTCTGTATAATCCTAAAAACCTGTCCACCTCACAGTCGGCGCACACTGGTGCTTATCCAAAACACTTCTTACTGATTTTTACCAAGACTTCTGGTGCCGTATGGAAAGAGAAACCCTTGTTGTGATACCTTAAGAGTAACTGGATCAACAACATAATGTTCTAAATAAGAATGGAAAGGTCAAAAGAGTTGGTGATTCCATCAGTACAGGAAGTGTGCCTAAAAAGAGAGGAAGCTCAAAATGAGAGCTCCTTTGATGGGTCCCCTCACTTCCTGAAGGTGGTAAAAGGGCTTTGCTGTGTCATGGGCAACAGTTTAATTCGTGAGTTAGAGGTTTTAATAATATACAAATACAAGAGGTGTGGTGTTTGTTTTAAAATGTTTGTTTGTTTGTTTGTTTGTTTGTTTGAAGAGAGAGAGAGAGCAGGGGAGGGGCAGAAAGAGAGAGGGGATCCCAAGCAGGCTCTGTGCTGTCAAAAGAATACAGATTCCTCACGTGAGGGGCTTCGTTCGCTGGAATCTTCCCCTACTCATTCCTCTGCGATGTTTTTATGATTGGTGTTTCTCCTTCTTCTTACCAAAATTATTTTTGTTCGTGTATATGTTTCTAAATTATCCTTCATATTGCTTTGATATATAACTACAGTAGAAATACTACTACATGGCTACACATGCCACTAGTATTGAATACAGTCTCAAGGTTGAAAGCAGCGTTTGGTTCATTTAAGCAAGCCAGAGGAAATGGTGGAAGCAGAATGCAGGCATCTAGTTTCTGAGTCTCACGCTCTGTTCACACCTGCGAGCCTTATCAGCTCCGAGTTATACCAGCCTTAGGGATGTGTACCAGGCTATTGCTTATTTACTAGGCCACCTGGATTTCATATCAGTCTCCCATACCGATCGACACAGCAAGTGTCATTCGGTACTGGGGAAAATGTATCAGTCAAGGCCCACTCGGGAAAATACAAGCACTCTGGGAGTAAGCCAAAGGAATTTAATCCAGAAATTTGATTACACAGGTGATGGGATAACTAAAGAGGCAAACAGAAGATACTGAGGTAACACAAAAGATTAGCCACAGCAGAAAGCCATTAAGCAAGGGGGTGGGGAGTTACTAAGAGCCAGAGGCCAAGGTACAAGCTGGAATGGAACCACCGTAGACCTGTCTTGCTCCAGCTGAAGCCAGAAAGGACATGTAACTGCTGACCCCAACACTGTGGAGAGAGATTAGGGGAGGAAATACCCTGAATTTCCCTGCCTTTCACCCTCCAGCGAAAGCCAACTGATCCTGGAGCCTGGAAAACCCAGCCTACAGGGGTCAGCGCCCCCGGAATACAGAGCAGAGCAAGAGAAGAGAAATAGGTCTGAGGGGAAAATGATGTGAGTCTTCTCCATTGGCATGCCATCAATAATTGATCGAAATGCCAGGTACACAGGAAACTGGCTGTTGGTTGTGCTGGTTTTTCTGTTCTATGTTCCTGTTTTCATTAATATTTCTATCAAAGTCTTGGTTTCCTAGATTTTTAAAAAGCAAACATTTACTGAAAGCCTATGTGTGCCAGGCATGGTTTCATTGTTGTTTTGCTTCTTTTTTTTTTTTTTTTTTTTTTTTTTTTTTTATATACAAGAAGGAGGGATAGGGTGGTCTAGGGGGCAACCCACCAGGCAGTCTCCTGGAACTGGAACCAATTGGCAATTACATTAATATAAATTGGCCTTACTCCCATCCAAGTAGAAAGTGTTCTCAGGTGGGAAGTTACAAAAAGACTTCATAGTAACACAGGTCCTTCCCTTATTTGGCATCATGGGTGTGCACTATTGACCGGCTGCGATTCTAGAACCAAATAAGGTATGGTGTGGTACTCTACCAAGCATGAGCCTTTGCTATCTCGTTTCCCTTTTAATTTGTGAAGTCCTTCAATTTGTTTCCCGGAAAGCTGTCTGATTTTTCAAACTGTGAAGCACTACCTGAAGAGAGAATGAGAAAAACAGCCTTTTTCATTTTCTCAGACTGTTGATTCTGCTTTGGTCAGTCGAAATGGTTTAGTAAGTGGATCTGTTTGAATATGTAATGTTTTTAAAAGGAAATCCACCCCCCCTCCACCCCCCGCCCGCCAGCTAAATAAATCTTGAACAACTATAGAAAGAAGAAGTACAGATTCATTAGAAGTATATATTCGTCAGTCTGCTGCGGAGACCCTCTTGTCTCACGTCGACCCTGATCTTAGCTCTGGTTTTGTTGGCGTCTTGCTGAAATTTCTTTAGGTGTTTCCTCTTCCGCGAACTGGAGCGTGATATTTGGAGTAGCCCAGCCGAAACGTGTGGTGACTCGAACGATTTACACCTTTCCAGGTGGTGAAGGAAATAGTGGCTCCCCCTAGCCTGGACGGCCCGTCTAGAAGGCAGGCACCCTAAGAAACTGCCAAGTGAGCTTGGCAGAACTCCACCTCTGCTGAAACACTATGGAAAGGGGAGGAGGGAAGTCGCCGGAGTTCTAATAATGAACGCATGCAAAGCAACTTGTTGTCCAGACCCAGATTGATAACAATCATCTAATATCTTTAATATTTTAAAGTACTGAATAAAAAACATACCTGTAGATATTGGGCTCCTGGATATGGGTCGTATACACGAGCTGTACCTAAGACATATAAGTGACAGAGAAGAAAGCAAACAATGAGTTTCTGCTGGGAGAATGTTGTCACTCATCTGTGCCCAGAATTAGAGGATGTTGTTAGTTTCTAAATAGGACTGATAACTAGCGTATCTCTGAGATTTTCTTTCCCAAGGCAGAGCAAAACCAGCCATCCCACAACAGAAGGCCAAATTCGAAGCAGCCAGCATGTGAACAAGTAACAGCGTCCCCCGCCCTGCCCTAAAAAGCACTGAAATAGAGAAGTTGATCGTACTCAGATAGGAACGATAAAACCGACGAAAAGAATCAGAGCAATTCCTTTACCTAGACAGGATGTTGTCTAGGGGAAGACTATATCATGGCTAATTCTGACATACAAAAAAATAAAATATGTGTGTCTCTAAAGGGTAGTTGACCAGCAACTCGTTTATTTATTGAACAAATACTTATTGGGTGCCTGTCATGTGCCGGGGCCAGGGATGCAGCAATGAAAACAGAAAATGAAATGAACGAACAAAAATTGTCTCCTCTGCCTCTGACATTATGGTGGTGAGAGCAGATAATGAACAAATTAATAAGAAAATAGAATAAATTCAGTAACGTGTGAAACTAATTAGGGGGGAGGGCATGAGAAATGGGAGAAAGATGGCAATGGAAAATATATCTGTCGATCAGGGAAGGACTCACTGAGGAGGCGCCACTTGAGTGAGGACTCACAGAAGGTGAGAGAAGTAAGGAGATTGGGGGGAACCCTGGAGCAGCCATGTAACAGAAAGGCGTCCAGGGCAGCACAGTGAACTGGCAAGACAGGGACAGGGAGTAAAAGGGGCCAGATCAAGCAAGTAGGGTGACCATATAGTGGTTCAAACTGGGATGTTCTTAAAAGCGAAAGAGGGGTAGGTACCAAAAATAACTAATACTATATAACTTTAAAAATATGTATTTCTTGACTAAAAATTGGGTTTTATTATATTGATGGACCTACAAAATAATTCTTTTTTATTAATGTTTATTCTCGAGAGAGAGAGACAGAGATGGAGTGTGAGTGGGGGAGGGGCAGAGAGAGAGGGAGACATAGAATCTGAAGCAGGCTCTGGGCTCCGAGCTGTCATCTCAGAGCCCAACGCGGGGCTTGAACTCACGAACTGTGAGGTCATGACCCGAGCCAAAGTCCGACGCTTAACCAACTGAGCCACCCAGGCGCCCCTACAAAATAATTCTCTTGAAAACTTATTTTCGAAATAAAATTGTCTAGGGGTGCCTGGGTGGCTCAGTCAGTTAAGTGTCCAACTTTTGATTTTGGCTCAGCTCCTGATCTCATGGTTCGTGAGGCTCTGCGTCACAGCAAGGAACCTGCTCGGTATTCTCTCTCTCCTTTTTCTCTGCCTCTCTCTCAAAATAGATAAACTTAAAAAAATAAAATTCTCTAGAATGTTTTTAGATGACATAGCTATAAACATTATTTTTTTTATGTTTATTTATTTTGAGAGAGAGCACAAATGGGGGAGGGGCAGAGAGAGAGGGAGAGAGAGAATCCCAAGCAGGCTCAGCCCTGTCAGCACAGAGACTGATGTGGGGCTCAACCTCACACACCGTGAGATCATGACTTGAGCTCAAATCAAGAGTCAGTCACTCACCTGACTGAGCCACCCAGGCATCTCTAAACATTAAGTTAAAAAAAAAAAAAAAAAAAGCTTGTATATTGATTATTTGAACATTTTTAAACAGCACAGCAAATAATTTTTCTTGATATAGATTCATATACCTTAATTGGTTACCTAGCCATTGTTATCTCTAACACTGTGATGTGGAAATTTTTCTGAAAGATGTCTTTTTTTAAAATATGATCTTATTAGGGCACCCAGGTGACTCAATTAAGTGTCCAACTTTTGATTTTGGTTCAGGAGGTCATGATCTCAAGGTTTGTGAGTTCAAGCCCTGCATTGGGCTCTGTGCTGACAGCATGGAGCCTGCTTCAGATTCTCCCTTCCTCTCTCTCTGCTCCTCCTCTGCTCTCTCTCTCTCTCTCAAAATAAACTAATACATTTTTTTAATAAAATATGATCTTATTATTTTCATATCTTTTAGTATTGCAAACTAGTTAAGGAGCTGCATTTTATATATATGCATTTTATATATAATATATAAATATATTTTGAAGTTATTGATACTTTTAACTGATGCTTCTCTGTAGACCATAATATTGAGAATTAATTGAGAAAATATTCCCACTCTGGATGTTGATGAGCCTATAAGTTCAGGGCAAATTCTGCTAAATGGAGGATATTCTCAAATGTTTCTCATATTAAAATGTATAAATATTTCTGCCCCAGTATTTTCACAGGTGCTGTATTTCTACCTCCATCCAGAGCACCTTTCTTCAATAATATTTTTACAAGACAGAGCTCCTAAGTCGTCTCTTTGTGATTCTTTTCAACATTTTGCCAAATGTAGATACTGCAAAATCATAGGCCTTCACAATTTCATCCCATTCTGGTGGAGAATATAAATTTATCCAATTAAAATTAGAAACTCCATCAAAGACAAGATTTTTTCCAAAGCACAATTTTCAAATTAGGTAATTAAACCATTTGAGCTCTCATCTGTTAAGTTGTTCAATTCCTCCCCGGCTTTTGTAGAGAGAAATTTGAGCTCCTTCCTTTTTGCAAGCTTTGTTTTACATAATTGCAACTTGCTGAAAGCTTCAAAAGCTGAATTTTCATGCTACATTCACTGAATAATTCGATTAAATATTTCTGACTGATTTTCCACATAATGCAACCTATATTTAAGTTGCTTTACAAAATGTTATTTTCAGAGGCTCAGGCATTTCTAAAATCCGATTGATGACAGGCAATACAGAGAGAAAATGCATGCAGCCATGCTGAAATGTTGCTTCCGTATTCAACATCAGCTTCTGTCACAGAAGTTTTGTAGATGAGTTAGATACATATATACTCTGATGGTGGAAATATATATCTGTAAATTTTGACATTTGCAGTTTCTATTTTGATTGGTAGAATCCTGGAGCTTGGATGCAGTCGGGAATTTTGTGCACATCACAACCAATTCAAGCACATTTCTGCTGCATAGGTTTTTTAATATGGAACTTTTTTTTTTTAGCGGCAATTCTGTTCTCCATCAAAATTTGTATTCATATGATCACACACTCACAATAACCCACTTTGTCTTCAATGTTGAACTTCCCAACTAAATTTACAATGGCATTAACAATGTCAGATGTTCTGCTTTTGAGGGAAGAATGAATTTCCAAATACTGAATTTTGATCCTTTCAATTAGAGGGGAAAAAAATCAAAGCATTTTGGAATTAACAAATTTTCTAACTGAGGTCTCTGGTGGCACAGATATAAAATTGACATTATTTGACGGTTTGCAAAGGGAGTCAACTCAATCGTCACATTTACTTCAGTTAGAAGCACAAGAAAACTTGAAGCTGATACCAAACAAAACCAGTTTAGAAGCGACACTTGATGCAGATGTAAAGGTGTGCTTCACTGTGACATGTTAGACACGCCTCCTGCAGCTGCACATGCTAAACCATCAGGCACGTTCTTTTTACATGAGCAACTTATGAAGTAGATGCTGATGTTTCTTCCCTATGGCTGTGTCTTCCTGTCTTCTAAGGGGCACTAACATCTCTACTTGCCACCGGGGGTGGACAGGAAATGTTGGCAAATATTTTGCGCAGATTACACAGTCGTCATCAATTCCTTGAGAAAATTAAACATGTAATTCTGGGTTTGGTTTTGTTGTGAGCCAAATGCTGCTAAAAGCATCTGCTGCAAAAATAAAAGCATTGCCAAATAATAAAACAAATAGCTATGGCTGTACATACACAATTAAGGACAAAGCTGCTTTAATGAGAACATTTAGAATACACTACACTCAGCGGTGAGAATGCTTGGCCTCTATTTCCTGCACGTAATTTGTATGATATTAAGCCACAGTTTCCCATATTTTTTCTGACCCTGAGGAGGTCCATGCTTCTCATGAGCATGAGTGGTGCTATACAGGGTGACCGGCTGGGGAAAAAGCTTCCAAAGTTCCCCTGCCATCACCTGCAACCAGAGGTGTTAGCTGTCCCTGACGGTGCCTAAGCGTTTAGCTTTAAGGGCCCGCACCCTGCATGTTATCCCTGAAAAGGAGCTTGCCAGTTAGGATGTGTCTGAACAGGATCAGGGAAAGAGAGATGAGTTGTCATTAGCCGTCTTTAGGATTCAGCCATAATACAGTTCGAATTCTGTTCACTGAACGTATTTCACATGCTACTAGATGAGGCGTTAGAAGAAGCCAGAAAACACTAATAAGAAAACTTCCTAAAATATGTAAGACTTAGGGTAAATGCCACAGCCAATAACAGGATGTCAAGAAAACAAGCATAAACTCGGGGCTCGTCCGAATGAACCGAGCATATAGTCACCCCACTAAGGTCGGCGTAAAGATGGTGGCTTTTGCTTCAAATGGAGATAGAAATTCACTGTGGGGTTCTGAGTAAAGGAATGACATCATCTGATTGAAGTTTTACGGAATCACTCTGGCTGCTACTCTGAAAGTAAAATGCTGGGGGCAAGGGTAGCAGACCAGTTAGGAGCCTATGGCTATGATTTCGCATTGAGGAAAAGAGACAGTAGCTCCCTAGGAGAGAAATAAACGTTCATCCTTAAAACTGTATGTATATAGCTGCAGGGAGGAACAATGAAAGGGGGAAGGAACCACAGGCTCAGATTTCATGTCTGTGCAACCTGTGATTTCATACCAAGTGTACAAGGACGAATCAGAATATCATAGTTCAAAACACCACATGTGAAAACTACTTAATTCCTCTTCTACACTAATTCTATTCTCATCAAGCAACCTCCTAAGTACAACATAGATTCGTGTAGACTTACATATAGGAAGGAAATATATATATACATATATATGTATATAGCAAATACTAGTATCTATTATTCTATTTGATGATTAGACTGTCTCTAACCAGACAATGATAAATTGGATTTCTGGATTTTTTTTTTAAATATCATCTGAGTTTAATTTGTTTCTGTTGGTCCCCTAGAGTGTCATCATCTCTAGGTATACTAATAATTGAATTTCCTAATACATTTAACAGAAAATAAGACATGGAAAGTTGTGGCCTTAGAGGTCACCCTGAAAAGACTTGTCTGAGCTCCCACCTGGCCTTGCCCAGGTAATCCCTGGTCTTCTGGAGTGTTAATTCCAGACATACTGCAACATGCATCTCTGATGCCCAGACAGCAATATCAGAATTCTCCAAGTAAATTAGGGAAGACTCTGTTACCATGCCCTCACTAGAAAAAAATTTAATTCTCAAAGATTTATTCTTCCATGATGATTTTCTCAATTCTCCTCCTTTCCAAAAACAACCACCTTTAAGTTATCATTGAGGGATTTTTCTTGGATATATGATTCTCTCACATCACTCTACATAAGATACAATTAATTTTCAGAAATGCACTCAAACACTTATATTCAAGGTACTCCAATAAATGAAAGTTACCAGCAAGGGACTTGTATCATTCTGAACAGAAGGGACACCTGAAGTCTCAGCAAGGTCAGTCTCCTTTCTGGAATGCTGATCCAGGGAAAGAGGAGCTGAGCTGGAGGATTCATCACTGTCCTGGAGAGTGGAGCGTTCCAGTTCCTCCAATAAGGCATCTATATTATAAGATACAAGAGAAGCATAATACAGAATATGGAAGTCTTCTGGGATAATTTTCCTCCTTAATTATCCCCACTGTGCCTCCATTCATCTTCTTCTTTTGGGTTAGGGTTATTTTCAAATATCTTCTCTTATTCCATATTTTACTTCAAGACTGTGGTCTATTCTACCAGAAGATGTTTAATGCCTCCACATACTGTGACCTATTTCCTATGGTTGCATTCAATTTCACAGCATCACTCAAGAATTTGACTTCCAAGGGGCGCCTGGGTGGCGCAGTCGGTTAAGCGTCCGACTTCAGCCAGGTCACGATCACGATCTCGCGGTCGTGAGTTCGAGCCCCTTGTCAGGCTCTGGGCTGATGGCTCAGAGCCTGGAGCCTGTTTCCGATTCTGTGTCTCCCTCTCTCTCTGCCCCTCCCCCGTTCATGCTCTGTCTCTCTCTGTCCCAAAAATAAATAAAAACGTTGAAAAAAAATTAAAAAAAAAAAAAGAATTTGACTTCTTATAATGCAGCGTATTAATACTTATCATTCATTTTGGGTGGATTGACTACAAAGATCCCCAATAAGAAAAAAGTAAATCCCTGTATATTTTTCCTATCAGAAAAACAGAAGTAATTATATTACATTTTTTCTAAATATACCAAGACAGTGGGGCACCTGGGTGATGCAGTTGGTTAAGCGTCCAACTCTTAGTCTTGGCTCAGGTCATGATCTCACAGTTGGTGAGTTCGAGCCCCACATAGGGCTCTGTGCTGATGGCGAGGAGCCTGCTTGGAATTCTGTCTCTCCTTCTCTCTGCTCCTCCCCCATTTATGCTCTCTCTCTCTCTCTCTCTCTCTCTCTCTCTCTCTCTCAAAAAATAAATAAACTTAAAAAAAATAAATATACCAAGACAGTAACACTTATTCTTAACTCTGATTATTTTTTTCTCTTACATACCAAGCACATGATAAAACTGTCAAAACCAAGTAGAAGTATTCTTTTAGACTATAGGGGGAAAAAAGGGATCATGGAGAAAACAGCTATTGCAAAATCAAGCAAGATGTTGCAATCCAAATACTTGAGACTTGTTTCCCTTGTAGTTTTTTTCAGAAAAACCAATGCACTTTACAAGTAGCACACTACCACGTTTCTGTTATGATGAAATTAATAATAATTAATAAAAATCAACACATTACAGGCACTATGCTCAGGAACTTATATATTTCATTTAGTCATCCTAATGCTTTAAGGCAGGTGATATTATCATCCTTACTTTGTAAATCAGCTACTCCTGATGCAGCCTTGTCTGACTGATCCTGGACTATCTGATCCCAGACCCTGCACTAACTTCAAGTCAAAAATTCCAGTCCCCATCCTCACGCAGATTCTCCGGGCCATCTTGGCATGACTTCTCCGAAGTCACTTCCTCATCCCCATAATGAAATCATTTTATTACAAGTTTTCTCAAATTGTGGGTTGAGATCCATTAGTGGATCTGTGGTGGATTTCTTACCACAGGTCATGTTTTCTTTAAGTTAGCAAAACAGTGGATTATATTATTTCTAAGGATCTGCCTAGGTCTGAAGTCCTCAGATGAGGAAAATGAACTTTACACAGGTCATTAAAAAAACAGATTTTCATTTATTTTAGATATCAGGGGGGATGGGTATTTATTAACGGCATAAGAAAAGACTTAGTCATTTCTGCCCAAAAGTCCATCCACTGATGAACAGATAAAGAAGATGTGGTGTATGTATATACAATGCAATATTATTCAGCCATAAAAAAAGAATGAAATCTTGCCATTTTCAAAGATGTGGATGGAGCTAGAGAGTATCACGCTAAGTGAAATAAGTCAGAGAAAGACAAATACCATATGATTTCACTCATATGTGGAATTTAAGAAACAAAATAGATGATCGTGGCGGGGGTGGGGGAGGGGAGGGAAAGAGAGAGGAAAACCAAGAACCAGACTCTTAACTATACAGAACAAACTGATGGTTATCAGAGAGGAGGTGGGTGGGGGTATGAGTGAAATAGGTGAAGGGGAGTAAGGAGCACACTTGTTGTGATGAGCCCCAGGTGATATATGTAAGTGTCAAATCACTATATGGGACACCTGAAACTAGTATTACACTGCATATTAACTGGCTGGAATTTTTTTTAAAATCTAGTAATGTCTTGCAAGTGAAATTTTCTACAGATCTTTCTTAGTCACCCATCTCATAAAAATATTGAAGTTTATGCATCATTTTAGAGATGAGCAAACTGAGCTAAACTCTTCAAGGCAAACTACCCTTCAAAAACTAACGGCAGTGGAAAAAAAGAGATGAAGGGGAAACTGAGGTTAAAAGAGATTTAAGAAACACAACTAATTTCGATGTGTAAACTTCAATAAAAAGAAAACAAGGAGGAATATTGAACACTGAATATTCAATACTTTAAATAAGCACTGTTAACTTATATTAGATGTAAAAAGACATTTGATAATATTAAGTAATGTCTGTTAACATTTTCCGTGTTTCATGATATTAAAGAACGATTATGAATTTTGTTCGTGATAATGCTATTATGGTTATTTGTATATGTACATATTTATTTTAGAGATTAATACTGAATTATTTACCAATGACATGAATGTAATATCCGATTATCACTTTAACATAATCCAAGAGTGGGGCGCCTGGGTGGCTCAGTCGGACAAGTGTTGGACTTTGGCTCAGGTCATGATCTCACCATTCACGTCGGGCACATGGGGCTTTGAGCTCACAGCTGCCAGCAAGGATCCTGCTTCAGATTCTCTGCCTCCCTTTCCCTCTGCCCCTCCCCACCACGTGCATGCTTTCTCTCTCTCTCTCTCTCTCTCTCAAAAATAAATAAACATTAGGGGCACCTGGGTAGCTCAGTTGGTTGGGCGTCTGACTTCAGCTCAGGTCATGATCTCATAGCTTGTGAGTTCAAGCCCCGCATCGGGCTCTGTGCTGACAGCCCAGAGCCTGGAGCCTACTTCAGATTCTGTGTCTCCCTCTCTCTCTCTGCCCCTCCCCCACTCACACTCTGTCTCTCTCTCTCCTTCAAAAATAAACATTAAAAAAAAAAAAAAATAATCCAGGAGTGAAAGGAATGGATGGGTGTATTAATGAAATAAGATTGGCCAAGAGCTGATGATTGTTTACGCTGGTTGATAGGTATACTAGATTTCATTAAACTATTTTCTTTACTTCGTATATTTTAAAATTGCTGATAATAAAAGATTTTTTTAAATGAACAAAAAAGAAAAGGAAAACTAAAGTAGAAAGAGAAAGCAAAACTTTTTTCTAATAACCTTACTAGCCAGAATGAATGCCAAACTGAGTTCCAAAGTTTTATTCGGTGCCCCTCCATTAAGACGTAGCCCCCCCCCCTTTTGTTTTCTATTTTCTAAGCTTCACTCCAACCAGAAGTCATACATCTCCTTGGATTCAAAATAAAAGAGCATTTACAATAAAGATTAGGGGAGAGAGGAGACCCTCCATGAGGCACACACAACATCTCTAGGAGTAGGTTACACACCAAAGTTAGTGAAACTCTCCCCGCTGGGTCATGAGTTAACAGGCCTCCCTCTTCCCGTTTCCTATGAATGCACATACACCAACACCCGAGATTATCTTGCTTTCTGCCAGATTCCGTAATTTGAAGATGACTAACTTCAGTATGACAAATGCAGGGTTACAAGGGGTGGGGGGTGGTAGTACGCTGAAAACTCCACAGTCCTTCTCTGTGGTGCTTCATCTGTGGAAATCCAATCATGTCAACATTAACATGAAAGGAGTAAGGTGAGGTCTCTTGGGGGATCTCACTGGATTGTAAAGCTTTCATTCAGAGCCAGAGGCTGCTCCTGGTTCCCCATTAGCTGGCCTCCCTGAGTAATGAAGCTTCAGGTAAAAGCTGGTGGCTGCAAACTACCGACCTTGGAGGAGATACTGCAAAAAGAAAATATCTGCCTGCCTTTGCTGACCTGTCACCTGTTAGGAGGTTTGGTACTTTCCCCCTTTCTCCATTTCTGGACCAGGTTTCTCTACCATTTCATCCTGCTCAACTAGGGCAAAACTGTACAAATCTAATTTGTAATTTTTTTAAGTATCTGGGTTGTTCTACTGGCTGGAACACACTTCTAAAACAGGAGAGGGATGCCTGGGTGGCTCAGTTGTTTGAGTCTCTGATTCTTGATTTTGGCTCAGGTCATGATCTCACAGTTGGTTGAGTTTGAGCCCTGCATCAGGCTCTGTGCCGACAGCGTGGAGTCTGCTTGGGATTCTCTCTCCCTCACTCTCTGCCCTTCCCTGGCTCATTCTCTCTCTCTCTCTCTCCATCTCAATAAATAAACAAATAAACATTAAAAAAAAAAACAATAGGAGAACACCTTGTAGATTAATCAGTTTTGGTGTTAGGGGTTCCTGAGAGCGATACTGAACAAGTTTATTATTTTTCTTAGTTTTCTCATTGGAAATAAAAAGTGGATAATACCTATTTCAGAGAGTTGCTTCAGACACTAACATGATTAATATCTGTAAAAACGTTAGGTTTTAGCTTAACTCGCTGAATACTTATTAGTTCCCTTTTGAATTACCTGCGTGAAAGCCATTAGGTGTTGCTAAAATACGAAAGAAGGGCTAGATTCTAGTGAGCTGGACTTTGAACTTAGAAACGTGAACTTCCCCAATTCTCACACAGAATAAGAATGTGGATTCTAATCCAAGTCCAAAACATGTTCTACCCCAAGCAGCAAAAGAGAGACTTCACCTTCAAAACAGTTTTGTGTCTATTAAATACCACCTTTCCCTCTTCATTAACATCTCTTTCCTCCTATAATTTGCCTTTCTTCCTTTCTCTGCTCCTCGCGCTCTCAAATTACACTCCCAATAACTAACACTCCCAATAATTAACAACAGCAACAAAAGACAATATGCGAGATACGTTTTGTTGTTGTTGTTGTTGTTGTTGTTCACACTTTTGACATACCCCAGACATACAAAAACCCGTAACACTATGGAATTAATACAGCTTGGAAAGCGAGTAAAGGTTAGTGACTCAGTGTTAGGAAGGATGCCAGCAACAAAGGTCAGCCGAGGATAAAGAATGAATCCCAAGAATGACAAAGCTTCCATTACTCCAAAGATTTGAAGTCAGCGATCTCTCTGAGCCATGTGGCCAATTGTTTCACTGCTGGTTTTAATTGTTTGAAGTGGAAAGAGTATCATATTTGCAGTCCGTAGTAATCTGTTCCTTGAGAATTCCTCCAAATAAAGAGCTTAGCAACAGAATTGCTGGAGTTATTGTGCTAATTCTCCTTGGTTTAATACTAAACCATGGAACAAATGAAACCACCCTGGCCTTTCTCCAACCTTTACAGATGTCTCATTCTTGCTCTTCCATTTCTTCTCCTCACCAACACCATCTATCCCTCCCCCCTTTTTTTTCTTCCTAAATCATATCTCTGCAGGTGCCAACTGTGTGACCACCCTGTGACCTCCAATAGTCGCCAAGGGGCAAATACTCATAATAAACAATTCAGTCCAAAAGTATTTGTGCATGGTTTACTCCGCTAAGCACCAAACTCTGCCTGTTTGTGCCACTAAAAGAGTGCACCCGGAGTTCCCCAAGAACAATCCTAGTTCCTCACGCTTCACTCTTGGTTGGGCTGAGGTCAAGAGAGAAGTGGAAACAAAATCTTCCAGCAGCACCCTCCCCCTGGCTAGAAGTACATCCCACCACACAGAGATGGTAGCCAAGTCTTCATTCCTTCAGTTTCCCCTCCAGGAAGGTCCTCACTCACCTAACTCTTCCATTGTCACGCACCCCAAGATGCGCTGGTCCCACAGGTTGTGAGGAACTGTTTTAGCATGTGCTGAAGAGGACTGCAAAGGAACTGAACGAAACAGCATGAAGCAGCCTCTATAACCCTTTTTGGTTCCTGTATTTGCGTAGCACTTCCTCTCTTTTGATTTGGTGAGTTTTTTTTTTTTCTTTTCTTTTTGAAAAGTTAGGGTTCTAAAAATGGGACATAGAAAGATGGGTAGTAGGATTTGAGTTCTGTTAGTGCATTGGACAGGGTGATAAAGATTCAAAATTAACTTTGAAAAAATTGAACTCCTACTATGTGCCAGGATTCATCTTGAATTCATGGGAGTGGCAGATTTGTACTTGTTTCCTCCAGTGTGGCTGGAGCATCAGAAAACCTGCTGTGTGTGAGTGTATGTGAGTATGTGTATGCGTGTGTGTGCACATAAAGCTGGGGACCACAAAAGCAGTTTCCTTCATAAAATTTCCATCAGTTAACCAGCACCCAATTCGTTTTGCTGTCTTCATTCACTTAATTATCCTGAAACTATGCTTCCCTGCTTTCCTGAATAGACTGTAAATCCATTAAAAGCAGGGCAGAGTAGTAGTCACATTTAGATTTTCAGGGCCTGGCTACGTCTGTGGTCCAAAACACAACCAACTACAGCAGTCATGAAGAATGAAATGGGAAGACAAGACACAAGGCGTTAAGCTGCAGATGTCTCAGTGAAGCACAATTTCTGCTTAGCTATGTTGCTTTCTAGCAATTTCTCTGAAAAAGGACACTGAGATTAACTTTCATCTTTTACCACTCTGATTTTACTCACCTTGAATGAAATAAAACATTTACAAAAGGCCTCCTATGAGAAGGCAGTGTGTGAAGAACTATAATTATGGCCCTGTGAAACAGATATTATCTCCATCTCTACCAGTAGTGAAATAAATTCAAGGAATGGTAACTTGAGGAAATTAACAGAATTATAGGTAGCTTTACTATTTACTATAATCCAGAGAGAGAGAATCTAAAGCAGGCTTCTCACTGTCAGTGCAAAACCCGAGGTAGGGCTCAAACCCACCAACCCACGAACTGTGAGATTGCAACCCATGAATTGTGAGATCGTGACCTGAGCTGAAGTCAGATGCTCAACCAACCGAGTCACCCAGGTGCCCCAATCCAGATTTAGTTTCAATGCCTGTGATCTTTCCTCTGCAATCCAGTGGTCTTTTTTTTTTTTTTTTTTTTTTGGTTGATCTAAAGGAATTATTGATTCTTTCATTCCCTCCTGACACAAAGATTTTTTTTTTTTAATCAAAAGATTCCCACTCTGCATTACTTTGAGCAGCCATTGGATGTCAGTGCTGTTCCAAAAGTCCAGATGGGTTTGAAAAAATTCCCATCCACACTAATCTGTAGTTTTTACAACTGAAATGTCACTAGTCCTATGAAAGTGCAGAACACTCGACAGCAAATATGCCATTTGCCTCATCTGAACTGGTAACTAAGCCAAGACACCAAGGAAAAATGCACTTCAGCACTTGGCTTGCAAATATTAGACTCCATCTGCAGTTTAACTTAATGATTTATGTGAAATTTAGAATTGGATCCCCAGATCTTGTTTCCAACTGCTTTCTCTGGGGGGTTTTAACCCTGGATGTTTTATTTTCTAGGGGTAAGAACCATTCTCTCACATCGCTTCCTGGGTATAGTTCATGAAAAGCAGTAAGGAAGGAATGCAGGAGTCACTGACTGCAACTTGGAAAACAAATGGAAACTCCCATTTGACGCATTAGGATAATATAGTTGCATACGCTAGTGAACAGACAGGTAATTTCTGACAAAGCTGCTATTCTGACCGTGCTTCCTGTGCAGCAGAAACATTCAAAACCACAGAAGCCAAGTGGCTTTGAGGGAGGGAGCATGAAAGAGGCCTTGGGTTTCTCTGAGTAGGTCACAGAATCATGATAACAACCCTTCACCCTACCCCCTTCCCTGCAGCCCAGGGACCACAGCCAAGTTAGGCAGCTGACACCAGCTCCTTGGCACCAACATCTGGTAAAACGGCAACTCTAGAATCCTTTCTGCAAACTTTTATTTAAAAAAAAAAATTTTTTTTTTACCGTTTATTTTTAATAGACACAGAGAGACAGAGTGCGAGTGGGGTAGAGACAGAGAGAGACGAAGACACAGAATCCAAAGCAGGGTCCAGGTTCTGAGCTGTCAGCACAGAGCCCCACGTGGGGCTGGAACCCACCAGCTGTGAGATCATAACCCGAGCTGAAGTCCCAGGCTTAATGGACTGAGCCACCCAGGCGCCCCTCCACAGACTTTCATTAAGAACCAAATGAGTGGTGGGTTTGTGCTATGCGCCAAGCACCCGACGGATCCAGATTCAGTGCCTGACCTCTAGGAGCTCACGGGTCACACGTAAGATGACGAGGCGTATACTGCAAATATGAACGCTAGGAGGTGCAAAGTAACCAACCCAGGCCACTGTGAACGTGGCCACCCAAGAAATGTGTCGCCAACACCGATTCCAAAGTCGGGAAAACAGTCCTAAGCTATCCCAACCAGCAACTGCCCCGACAACCCAGCTGGGATCTGTGCAAGTTTCGCGGCCTAACCCGGAAATACTACCTCCTTGAAAGAACAGACGCCCACTGCAGAACGAGTAAACTACCTTTCCCATCGTGCATCACTCAAAACCTCCCAGCATCCTCTACGCCTCCGGTTGCCTGTCATCTTTTCCTAAAGCTCAGGATATTCAGGACTTCATCTCCCAGGATGCCTTTTGACAAGTTGACCCTGCGCATGCGCCAAGAGGCGGGCCCTCCTTGCCCTCACGACCCCGCCTCTGTTCTACCGCCGCCATTTTTTCAGAGACTTTCATCCGGCAGCCGACGGCGTTTTTTTTCTTAAAGGAGAAGCGACAACTCAAAAAATTTTCCCCTTCTTTCCGCAAGACCTGGCGGCGCTGGGGACAGAAAGGCCACAGACAGGAAAGTGGGGTCGGGGTGGAGGCAGAAGAACGCCAAGGCTACTTCCACGGCTTAAGGAAGAAGGATAGAAAGAGCCCTGTGGCATTAGCGGCTCCTTAGGGAGGCAGGTGCGCGCGCAGCCAGTCCAGGGTGCGCGCGAGGCGGGGAAAAAGGTGCGTTTTCCTCCCACCAATCTCCTCGCGGGACCTGCTCCTCCCACTGCCCCTAGCGCGCGTTGAGCTCGTGGGGCGGGGGAGGGGGGGAGGAAGGTCACTTTAGGATTGTCGCGAGACGCAGCCGTTTAACGGTGAGAACGGGTGCGCGGGGAAGGAAACCTCGCGCGCTCCCTTAGAGCCGTTTCCTGATTGGTTGAAGGAAGGGGTGGGGGAGGGAACCTGGTACGTCGCTGCGTGAGAGGCCGCGAGGGGCAGGGCGAAGAAGCCGTCCCTCCTCTCCGATTGGTCCGCTGCACGTCTGTGGCGGGCGCGCGCGCCGCCAGCGGTAGCGGGCCTTGAGTGGCAGGGGGTGGGGGGGGCGCCCTCGGAGCCGGGCGGAGGGGAGGGGGGAAAGAGGAGCGCTGAGTGAGATTGAGCCGGACGCTCCGGGAGGCGAAGGGGGCGGGGGGAGCAGCGCCGCGGCCGCCGCCGCCTCCGCCTCCGCCGCCTGGGACGAGGGGGTGGGGGACGGACGAGCCCCGATGCCGGGGGAGACGGAAGAGCCGAGACCCCCGGAGCAGCAGGACCAGGAAGGGGGAGAGGCGGCGGCGGCCAAGGCGGCTCCGGAGGAGCCCCAACAACAGCCCCCTGAGGCGGCGGCGGCGGCGGCGCCTGCAGGGACCACTAGCAGCCGCGTGCTGAGGGGAGGTCGGGACCGGGGCCGGGCCGCTGCGGCCGCCGCCGCCGCCGCTGTGTCTCGCCGGAGGAAGGCCGAGTATCCCCGCCGGCGGAGGAGCAGCCCCAGCGCCAGGCCTCCCGACGCCCCAGGGCAGCAGTCCCAGGCCGCGAAGCCCCCGTCTCCAGCTCAGGGCAAGAAGAGTCCGCGACTCCTGTGAGTAACGCAGTCTTTCAGGCGGTGGGAAAGACCCCCCTCTGTCCGCACGCAACCTTCTCGGCTCCCGTAGCGCCCACTCCACGTGACATCCTGCCTGCTCTGCCCCCTGCCGGCTCGCGCGCCAGATGTCACGCCGCCTCCCTGCTAGCTGTCCCGTCGCTCCTCTCTGGCCCTCCCCCGTGCCCTCCGTCCGCGGGGCCACTTCCCCTCTCCCCGAGGTCGTCCTTTGTGGGATACACCTTTCCTGCGCCTTTAGCGGCTCTCCTCTTCCCCGCCGCCGCAGGCTTCGCCCGCGCTCTGGCATCTGCACTCCCTTTGTCAGCCTGTCCCTTCCCCTCGTAAGGCGGCCCTCCAGTATTACATCACATCCCCATTAGGAAATCAACAGCACGGTCTTGGCTTCTAAAGTGTGTGGCCCCCACCCCCCCTTCCCATTAATTAGCTCGAGAGCCAGTTGTATGAGCAGCTTTATGTAGTTTGTTCCACTCTGCTGAATTTTCACATCACGTTTCACTTGTTTGAGGAATCTGGTGCTTAGGAGGGTGAAACGTGGCTCTGCCAATTTTAAGTGTAGTCTTTCACATAGCAGAATCAGATGGGTATCTTTTAGTGGTTTTCCTTTTATTTTATTTTATTTATTTATTTATTTAGTTTTAGTTTTTGCTTCTCTGCTTGTGCTTATGCTCCAACGTAGGAACTTCATCCTTAAAAGACAATTCTTCAAGGAATTCTGTTATCACCTAGGGATAATGGAGGGACCAGGAACAAATAGTTAAAGATGTTTCTATGTCGGAAATACTGAGTACGTGTGTTTGTAAATTGTAGAAATTAATCATATTAGCCATTGAATTCGTCGCTGAAAACATTTTTATCTTTCGACTTTCAAGTGAAAAAAATGGGTAAAAGGGAAAATTGGAGTGGGGGAATTACAGTTTTAAGTGCCCCCTCCCAAAGATAGTGTGGCAAGATTTGGCTTATCCCAAATTTAAAACTTGAAAACACCTCTTCCAAAATTAAAACTTAAGTCTCTGACTTGCATTCTTGTCTTAGAAGCCCCTCAGAAAGAGATAAAATTCAGAGGTGTTAGATGTACTTCAAATTTTTGAATGTTATTTAACATAATCCGTAATCCATAATCCAATCTGTACATACAAATCATTTGGCTGCGATTGGGATTCTAATTCCTGTAGATTAATTACAGTCACAAAAACTTTTAAGATTGTGTATTTAATCTCACCAGTTTGAAAAGAGCTATCATTACCCTTACTTGGATTAAGTTCCTTGGACAAATTTCTTCAACTGCGTGTGCTTTAGTTTCATTGTTTATAGGAGCTAATGTTAATCCTTATGAGATGAATTAGAATTAAGTACAGCACGTGAAGCACTTAACACAAAGCCTAGTACGTACTACATGCAGTCTTTGCTAAAAGTTAGTTTTGAGTGGTGGTAGCATACCAGAGACGTAAGCGGTGCGTGGTGGTTTTATGTGAGCTCTGCAAAGTTGGGATTTTTTTTTCCATTTCCTTCTTTTGCCACACCTGGGAAAGTTAATAACCTCATAATACATTTTTAAATGCCCTTCCATTCTCACCTACCCATCTGAGTAAAATATACCTAAACTTCCTTGCTCATTTCCCTCCCACTTTCCTACCAGTTTTACTTACAGAAATGATGTCTCAACCTGATGACACCTAGTGCAATAGTTTTTTTTCCATTTCTTTGGTTTTTTTCCCCTAACTCTTGGCAAAAAAAGTACTTACGAGTCTTTTTACTTTAAAACAGTTGAACTTGGATGAAGATGACTTAATTAAATCCCTTCAGTTTTTTTCCTCCATATTATTCCCTGGGGGGAGAAAGATAGAGCCTTAATTCTTAGTGTCCTTCCCTTTTATCCAGTATTGCAAAAGATAGTAGTGTTCTCTTACCTTCTCTTAGCCTCAGAACTGTCTCTTAAAGTTACGCAATTTTGATCAGATTGTTAAAATAAATTTTCCTAGTAATAATTTACTGCATGCCCTAGAAATCAAAGGAGTTCTAAAGCATTTCAGTTAACTAAACCATGATTGAGCAGTAACTGGGCCCGGTACCCTGTTGGGCGAGGCTTTATAAAGGTAAATGAGACATTGTCCTGGTCTTGAAGGACTTTGCAGTCTGAAGGAAAGATGCAGTGATTAGTGCAGGTTTGTGAAACATGTATGCATGGTTTATGGATTTTCAGAGTGATAAAGTAAACTTTAAAACTAATCAGTTAAAATTATTTAACCGTTCAAGATATTTCAGAAGGTTTTTTTCTTTTTTTTTTCATGTTTGTTTATTTTGAGAGAGAGGTGGGGTCAGGAGGGAGGGACAGAGAGAGAGGGGGAGAGATAATCTCGTGCAGGCTCAATGGTGTCAGTGCAGAGCCTGACACAGGGCTCAGTCTTGGGGCTCAGTCTCGCAAAGCATGGGATCATGACCTGAGCTTAAATCAAGAGTTGGATGCTTAACCACATTACCCACTGAGCCACCCAGGCACCTCTCGTGAGGTTTTGAGTATCAGTTTACTGAACCCTGGTCAAGTATTCTCTGACCTTCTTCTCTATTTTCCTAACAACATATGGCAATTTTTTAAAAAGAAGGAAGAGATTTAATCTCTGTCTTAATTACTTGTTCTTTTCAGGTTCTTTTACATATTCCAACGTTTCCTCCTATAAATTCTCAGTAATAGCTGTTTCACCTACATTTGTTTCTCTTGATTGAAGAGACAGCAAAGTGTACAGTAGTTTAAAAGGTTAATAGCTACAGGGATTTGGATTGTTTGAAACCTCTTTTTTTGTTAGAAGGCAAAGTAATGAAGTAGAAAAAGATTGGACTAGATAGTTTCTGCTCCCAGCTTTCTACTACTCACTAAGTGACCTTGGACAAGTTACTTAAGCTCTTTAAATTAGTGTCTTCATCAATAACTGACAATTTATGATTTGTGAAGTTAGCTTTATAATTAAGTGATAACTAGGTTACAGTTTTTAATATACATTTATGCTTGTAACAATGTTTTCGTTTACATTGAAACATTCAAAAGTTAATGAACAGGAAATCCTTATGGAAGGAAATGATTTTTCAGTGAATTTGCTCAAAAGAAAGGCATAAAGTTAAATGCTAGAAACATTTTAAAATAAAACTTTAAGGCTAATTATAAGAAAAGATAAACCAAATATGAAGAAAGGTTTTTATATCAGTACTATTGAAGAATTTGGTTCATCATTTGCTGTATTTTGGCCAATAAGCTTAAGAGTTCAGATTCTTATATTTTAATTGCAGATGTTTATATACATGTCTAATTTTTATTTTATTAATAACATTTTTTAAATGTTTATTTTTGAGAGAGATAGACACAGTGTGAGCAAGGGATGGGGCAGAGAGAGAGAGAGAGGGAGACCCAGAATCTGAAGCAGGCTCCAGGCTCTAAGCTGTCAGCACAGAGCCTGATGTGGGGCTCAGACCCACAAACCGTGAGATCATGACCTGAGCCAAAGTTGGACGCTTAATGGACCGAGTCACCCAGGCACTCCTAATCCACGTCTCATTTTAAAGTATATGTACATTTCTCGGGGTGCCTGGGTGGTTCAGTTGGTTAAGTGTCTGACTTCTGCTCAGGTTATGATCTCATGGTTTGTGAGTTCTAGCCATGCATGGGGCTCACTGCTGTCAGTGCAGATCCCACTTCAGATCCTCTGTTCCCTTCTCTCTCTGCCTCTCCCCGCCACTCTCCCATGCTCTCGCTCGCTCTCTCTCTCTCTCTCTCTCAAAAATATTTTTTAAAAAAACTATATGTACATTTCTACCATTTTTTTTTCTGAATTCATCAAGTTAAAACATCTGCTTTTTACTAATACGGAAACTAATTCTTAAACTAAAAGTAGGTTAGATTGCAAAAAAGGCTTCTTTTTGTTCTACCATGATCATAAGGCCTGTGTTTAGCCAATGCACTTCGTGTAAAACTTCAGTAAATACTTTTTTAAACTTATAGCTATTGAGTAACCCTATTGGCTAAAATGGAGTATTCTTAGAGGGACTACTACAGGTTTCGGGGGAGGTTATAAATGAAGGAAACAAATATTGCTCTATTTTCTGGTACATGGCATTCCATTTTTGGTGTATTTTCTTGCTTAAAGTAAAATGGTAGTAAACCTTTGGGTGACACTTTCTTGCTATTTCCTTTTGTAAGGTGTCATGATAATGGGAATGAAAAGGCAGTAATATTCTGAATTGAAACAGCTTTTGAGACTCTTTGGAGAAAGCTCCAGTTGTAGAAGTTTAAAATTCTGAGCCTTCCTCTTATGGTGATCAATATGGTAATAGAAACATGTTAGCATTCCAAACGGTTTTTGGAAAGTTTATTGCATAGTTTCAAAATTTAGCAATTAAATCTGTACTTCTCCTTTAGAGTTCGGATGATTAGCAGTTATCTTATGTTAATTATTAACTGGGATGTTGATAATATAATTTAAAGTAAAGTTATAATACCAAGCTTTAAAAAAAAAAGTGGGATGAGAAAATGATAGCTGTTCTTTCTAAGGAGAACAGATTTTTGTATTATGCTATGGCTTCTGTATTTGGACATTCTTTTATTACATAAGATTTTCATTTATATCAGGGTTACTTTCAAAAAATAAAAAAAAAACCAAACCAACTTTGTACTGCTTCAGAAATACTGTGTGACATCTTTACAATACAGACCCAAGACCTGAGGACTTTTGAATTTGGGTAATGACTCCAGGGGCAGGGGTTCATTTTACCACACTCAACAGTTATGAATGATAGAAATGTTAACAAATTTAAGACAAGATAGTAACATTTTTAAAAATCCATTTATAACACATAAAACTCTTTGCTGTTGCTATCTAATTTGTAAAGTACAAATTATATTTATTTCTAAGGTCCAGTCTTTTGCTTTGTAGAAATAGATTTTGACTTGGGTATAACAAATGAATAATTTGGGGTTTTCTGTTAGGTTCATTAAATTTTTCTTATGAAAATTGTCAAGTATACACAAAGTAGAGAAAACAGTACAGTGAAATCTCCATAGTTGTCAAGATTTTGCTCGTTACCTCTATCTCCCTTCTCCTCCCCGCTTTTTTTGACAGACATACCTTAGAGAAAATCTCAAACGTTTTATTTCACCCCTAGTTACTGCATTTAGTAAAATAAGGACATTTTCTTACATAACCACTTAATATAATCAGCAATATTTCCTTTGTATTAATCTTTTTATAGTTAGAAACTGTCTTGAAGAATACTGTAGCTGTGTGCTGTCAGATATGATAGCTATTTAAATTTACATTAATCAAAATTAAAAATTCACTTCCTCAATTACATAAGCTATTCCAAGCACTCAGCCACATGTGACTATCATATTGGAAAGTGCAGATATATAGTATTTTCATCATTGCAGAAAGTTCTATTGACCACACTACTCTAGGTGCTTTCTGCATCACTCTGGAGATGAACCTGAAAGAGATAAATATCTGTGTTTTAAGAAAGTGTGCAAGATTGTTCTTTTAATAGTTGATTCTCATTTCTTTCAGATGCGTGGACAAAGTAACAACTGACAAAGGTAAGACTTGATCATTCTTATCTGTCGTGTACATTACACTGGTTGTTTTATAATCTGATAGAAAATAGAATAAACTGCAGCCTAATGATTCAGATTGTTCTCATTTAAAAGTGACTTTTATTTAGTAAAAAATTATTGGTGTGATTAGAACCTATTTAGATACTAGGTTTGGGCAAGTGGAACATTTTGGCATTATTTGGAAACCTAATCAGTGTGAAATCAGATTATCTCATTTCAGTTTATTGCAATTTGTTTTTAGCTATATGGTTTTTTAGTAAAGTAACAGAAATGATACACAATATACAGAGTATAGACAAAATCTTGGTGCCTGTAGAGACTCAAATTATAAATGCAGTTTGAAGAATGTGAGAAGAAAAGTGTTCTAAGATTTCATTCAGCCTGATGAATCATTAAATGGGATCATTAGACTGTTTCTCTTTAAAAGAGTTTTACCAAACCAAATATAGGTATTAAATGTAGTCTTCTGCTTATCTGGATTATGAAAGAAAGCTAATGTCCACCTTTTTAAAAACAAAAAACAACTTTTTTTTTTAAAAGACTTTATTCTGGCTTTGCAGATTGGATTATTAAAATAGCCCCTAACATGCTGGGCCAGTTGCTCAGTCATTATATGTATATATTTTTTCTAGTTATTGCCTGCATTTCTTGATGCTAAATCAAATATGCAGCATCCGTTTTAAGACTGGAACAAGTATACTTTTAAGTGCATTTCATTTATTGTGTCTGACAAATCTAACTGAGGCTTGGCCAATTATGTATGTACATGTGTTTATGTATGTATGTGTGTGTTTATATACATACATATGTTCGTATGTATTAAGATTTTTCTCATCATAAAGAATGCTTTGAGAAAATGTAACATGTATAAGGCAAGTTTAAACCCTGGATTTTAATGCCATGTAGAAGAATGACAGTGTGATTAGGAACCAGTGACTTAAATTGGTGGCTGCTTTGTAAATAATTAGATACCAGTTACCAGGTTTTTTTTTTCCTCTGAATTTTAGAACCTGAGGCTAGTATTTCATATCAGGCAGAAATATTTATTCTAGGCAAATTTTTTTGTGTAGAAAACTTTGCATGACCAGTTTGCTGCTCTTACTTGGAAAATAGAGTCTGCCAAGAATGGAAGGTCTAACGTTCCTTATTCAGAGATCATTTTGAAATGTTATATTGTGAAGAAAACATAGACAGGTGGCAATCAAGTACCAGAGCAGTTTTTATTAAAACAAAAGACAAAATCCTCAGTTTGCCTTTATTAGAGCTAAAGTTGTTTGATGTGTCTAAAGAGTATGTATAAAGAAATTATTTTGGGTTGCCTTGAGGAGAACTTGGAGGATGTGGTGGTAATTTTGAATCTCTGTTGGAGATAAATTAATTGCTCTTTGCATAGATGTCTTAAACCAGAAATTGGCTTGTTACATAGCCGTGCAGCTGTGGAGAGATTAAACTGCATTCTGGGTAGCTCAGTCTCCATCAGTTCACTCAATTCATTAGTTAAATGCTCCGAATCTCTAGTTAGAGCTCAGCACTTGAATTCAAGTTCTGCCTTTTATTGCAAATAATATCAATACCTGAAAATCCAGTGAACACTCAGTAAAAGGTAACTGTAAAATTTTGAAGAAATAGATACTCTCCAGCCCTCATTTTCATCTCTTCATCGTGGCTGTTCAACTCTGAACAGTATATAGGAACATAAGAAAACTGTATCTTACGTACGTTTAAACAATAGACCAGGGAATACAGAAGTGGAGGCTATGGTGGTCACTTTTCCCTATGCTTTTAAATTCACCTCGATTCTTACCCTTTTTCTTGTCATTTAACTTCTCAGAAAGTTGTTCTGTTACTCTGGAGTGGTTTTCATGTTCAGTTGGCTGCATTTTAACTGAAGTAACTCAACTCATTCCAAAGTTCTTCAAAATTTTGAGCAGGTTTTTGATATTTTCTAGAGGTACTACTAATTCTGTTTCCTTAATATTGACAAGATGTTTTCAGGATTGTGTTTAACTCTTATTTACTCCAAACAGCGTGAAACTATATCCTTTCCTTCAGTCAAAGATAAGAACCTTGGACATGTTTGAACAAATAATGTTGCATACACACAAAAAACAACTTGTTTTAAAATTATGAAGTTGCAAAGTGCCATGTTGATTGTTTTACGCTTGAAATAGTAAAGAAACATATTTGTATTGGTTCCTGTTCTTGTATTTATTTAACCCAGATAGGTATATGTAAAACAAATGGAAAATGAAAATATATAAAAACAAATGGAGATTTGCAAAGATAGTGTTTATTAATTCATTGAACAAGTAGTTGTTGAGCATCGCATTATGTGTCCAGCAGCATTCTAGGTACTAGGTTGTGCTGGTAATCAAATCAGTGCAATGAAACATTTGATTAAAATAATGTGGTTCAGAGTTTGATGAAGTTACGATGTCATGGGAAGACCCCTTTTGAGGTGACTTTGTAACTGAGACCTGAGTGTGCATGTAGATAGCTGAAGAGCGTTCCACACAGAAGAAGCAAAAAGGGAAAAACTTGAAACATGAAAGTTAGTTTACCATTGCCAGCTTCCAAGAGTGTTAGCAGAAATTTTGTGGGATGGAGCCTAGCAGGTTCCTTTTTAACTTTGCTCTCTGTTTTCATTCTGTTCTCTGTTTTCAACTAATGTTATTCTTATGGTAATAAGTATAGTGATAGTTTGCCGCAATGCAATGTAGTTTATTAGTAATTCCAGTGTTACTTTATCCACTAATTTTAATTTCTTTACTTTCAAACCTCCAACTAAAACTGCCCAAGATGAAACCTTATAAAAAAAAAAAAAGGAGACTATAATATCTTAATGTTTACTAAAGTGAGTTTCAAGTGTTTCGTGGAATAATAAGTATTTACAGAGTCAAATGTGCTAGGTGTTTGAGTCATCAGTGTGTTAGTTTTTTGTTTTTTTTTTTTTTATTGCAGGGCCTCTCAGATTTTGTTTGTTGAGTAGTGAGCAATAAAAATACCAAAATGTGCAGTAACTCCCTAACTTAATTGACTATAATACACCCCCCCCCCCCGGTGTTTTTAAGGGGTAGCTCATAAAATTAGAATTTGTGGAAAACACTTCGGAGCACTGAGTGCTTAAAATTTTGATTGTATTAAACTCTGGGTCTCACCTTTTATTCAGAATTCTTTTACTGTTTTCAGTTACTCTTCTTGTTACAGGGTAGTAACGTTTAGAAAACATTACCTAGACAGAGTCATCGAATAAGTTCATTACAGATCTGGGAATTTACTTAAATTGTTAAGAGCTTTGATTATTTGTCTTATCTAATTTATAATCAACATAATATCTGGAATTATTACTAAAATATTAGCTTGTTTTGTTATTTCTTTCCTGGATCACATCCTCCATTTTTGTGTTCATTGATCTAATTTATATGTTATAGCTCTGTATTCCTTTCTTTTAAAAATTGGAATTTATTTTTAGCAATTTTTATAGTTTTAATTTCATCAGACTATTTCATTTTTCCTATGTTGGAATACCTTGGATTATTTCTTATCCTGTCATTTCCAGTACCCTTAAACAATGTTTGTGTTATTCTTAACTATATAGAACAGGCTTCCCACCTGTTTTACCTACTCCCATTGAGAAAAATCTAACTTTAATTTTTCCATTTGAGTTTTTGTACAAAGGATGATGTGAGAAGTTACTTAGGACATTGTCTTCACAATTCTTTGAAATATTTTGAGTCTCCTGGCTGATAACCTGGTGTCCCTAGTTAAAATCTTACTGGTTTTGAATAGGAAAGAGCTCTGAAAGGAGAATCACTAGGCAAAAAAAAAACGGGGGGGGGGCATATAGTTTCAGTCTTAACTCTCAAATATATGATCACTTTTAACGGAAGCATTCTTCACAAATTCAATAATACTCTTCTAAAGTTGGCTTAAATATAAGTTTAAAAAAGAGCCTTGCTTTCCTTGATTTCTCTAAATACTGCTGACGCTGGAATATTTCAAAATGGACTTTACTAATTATTTATGAGAAACAAAGAGCTAATTATAGAAATATACAGAGTAGTCTGATCAGGTTTCAGAAACTCAAGTTTCTGACTGTTACGATAATGTTCATGTCTCAAATGGCTGACAGTACATAGCATTTTATCTGTCCTATTTTGTTCCTGGCTCTTTATCTTAAGGTAACAGGAGCTATATTATTTCTCTCAGTAGGAGAATGATCTACTCAGACATCCAGTTCCTCATTGGGAATGCCCCATATCCTTTAAACTATTTTTCTTGTTCAAATACCTAGACCTCCTGTGGTTCTTGCTCTCTGTTTTAGTTTTCTAGAAGTGCAGACATACCTCGTGTGGGGATTGTGACATGGGCTCAGAAAGCCCATGGGCTTATCAACTCATTTCAGTTGTGGGATGTTTTATCAGATAAATGAGTCTTTCCCTTACATACAAAGAAATAACTTTGTAACAGTTTGCCCATTATGATTCAACTTACATAGAAACCATCTCTGACAACACTTATAAGTTAATTTTGTAATGTAGAGTAGTTATTTTGTGTTGAGATCCAATTCGTGCCACAACCACTTGAGAGATGCAGCAGAATGCCCTGGTGGAAGCAAACTGAAGCATGAGTGGACAAGAACCTCTGACAAAAAGGAGTTAGCTATGATTTCATGCCCCCTGACCTTTTAAGTCCAAGAAGGATCAAGCTCCTCTGAATTAAAACTAGCCAGATTGATCTAACTACATCAAGGCAAAGCCCCCTTTAGCTTCAGTGCAAGTAATTCTTAGAGGTAACTGTGGTTCTGTCCTCTGCCTGCCTACCTCATTGCTGTTTTGATCCCAGTTAATCTCCCAACTTGTATCCTAGCTTCTTTGTAATTTTGCCTCTTTTGAGAATTTCTAAACCCTATTTTCTTTACTGTGACTCTCCCTAAACTCTTGTATCACTTATCTATTGCCATGTAACCTTCCAAAAGTTCA